CCAAAATATGTTTACGTATACTTTTACTGCAGTTATAGATGCACATACGACGCTATTTTAGGAACATCACGTGAATAAACAATAATTATTTCAGCTGTTACTTCATATCAATCAACTTTAGGAACACACACGTTTTGCATTAGTTTTTTTCTATTTTATAAATTGATTGCCAAATTTATTGCAATTTCAGAACTTAAAAAAATTCAAAAGAAGTAATATTTTAAGTGCACCAATAGCCCACCAACATTTTTGTGCATTTGTGTATATTATTTGCGTACATGTCTGTGAATTTTTTAAATAAATTAAACTCCGTAATTTAATTTCCAGTGATAATTGTTAGGTAATACGATAATTGGAGTTAATAAGTACGTGTACAATATTGCAAATCAGATTGTATGAGCATAGACAAACATTGCCAGTAAGAATGTGCGAATGTAAATTTCGCTCGTTTTACATATCTGTATGTAAAGCGGTTTGATTCCTGAATTTCAAACATCAAGAGGATAGTGGTATTATCCTCAAGGACCTGCATTGTAAACTGCGAAATTTGCATGAATGCATTTAGATACTTGAAACCAATGTGTTGATAATAACGCAAATGTTTCTGTTGCTTAACTGAAGCGTTTCGAACAATGGGAGTGTTTTTTTGTAACCCAAAGAAACCAAAGATGTAGGAAAAGTCTTAATAGCTGAACAAACAAAGAAGTGATGTGGTACGACTAATCCTCCGGGTACCTGTCACGAACACAAACGTTATTAACAAAAAAAATATCCATATTCATCACAATCACTAGTGAAATTCGATATACAACACTCCATAATGTTAATCTCCACTGAATAAACTTTTAATATTTGAAAAATAAATTGTAAGATCAATCAAAAATATGGCTTCAAGATGTTTATCTCTTCAGACGCTTTCAAACATTTCAATAGAACATTTTTTATGGGGATTAAGTCTGTGTAATAGAAAGGTAGGATGGTACTTTAAAGGCTTAAATCACATGCCTTTCTATACTAAATTGTTATAATAAGGTATCATTAACTCTATTCAAAAAAACGTTTTTATGCATATCAGATATCCGTGATTTGAAAACTTCAATAGCGATGGCGTTTTGAAGTACCCAACTAAAGAATGTATATCAGCCCTTTGTTGCCTTGCCGAGAAATGTGCATCTTGTTAAATGTCATGTGTGTTGAATCAGTGATTTTCTAGTCACAAATAATTATTGCCGCATTTATATTGCAACGATTTAACAGAAACTTGAGTCGAACTATAGGTATTACGGCATCAATTAAATCTAAGCCACAGTTATAATCATTTAAATAATGCCTTAATAATTACGCTTATCGATTAACGTAATTAATTTGAAATCAAAACATTGTAATATTTCGCACTGAAATATCAGACATACTATGTATGCATAAGGCGTTATTGATAGTTACTGGACATTCACTTTTGACATATTTAATTTGGCGTATTGTTACCACTGCTGAGCGTATCAAGCAATAATGGCAATTACTGTTATAATACAATTTATTTGTCTAAGAGTTTGCGTAATGAAAATTGCGGCAGGCCGCAAGAGATTAGGGAGGTACTGGTTAAATTGCATCCAACTGAAGGAAAATCTGTTATTGCATCAGCATCCTGAATGTCTGAGATTCTCGTATTCGAATAGACCCCGTTTAAATTCAATTTAATTATCCTAGATAATCAACACACTCCGAATTGATATGATTATTTTAGTTACTAAAAAGTTACGAAGTTACTAAAAATATTCGCATTTGAGCAATTGGTGATTTTCGAATTTTTAGGCCGTCGTCGATAGAAATTTGATATATGATGTAAGATGCTGGAAAAAAATACAGCAATATCTCTCTATTAAAATGAGACACAGTGAAGAAGTGTGACCTACTTTAGACTGATGCAGATGTGCAATCAATAATCCCGGCTGTTTACAATGGGGACTCCTGCTATGCATCTGGTTCAATCTTTAACACTTTCCTTCCTTTCCCTCTTGCAGCGGGAGTTTTTTGCTGCGTTTTTTTGCTAAACAATTTAGTGCCGAATGCACAACGGGAAAACTCATTCCAGGAATATTTTCAAAGTTGTCATGCAGAACGCATAAATTTTTCGGAGTAATTTATTTGTCACCACCTTCAGTAGCGGGATTAAATTTAGAAAGGGTTACAGTGAAATAATTTGCATAATATTTGAATGGCCGCACTTGTTGTGTGCTTCGTATAATTAAAACATTCGACTGAATCATCATTAGATTATTCCACCACTTATTCAACTGTGGAACCACAAATCAACAATTTTAGTGCGGTCTAAGTTGTAAGGGTATTTCTTGTTGGCGTAGGATAATTTAACACTAATGCAAACATGTATGTAGCTAATTCCCAAAATGACGAGTGGGGGACATTCATTATGTGAAAAATGCAGCCGACGAATTACAAAATTTGAATATTAAATGTAGAATACCAATAGGTACTTGAATAAATAGCGGCATTTAATCAAATGGTAAATTACGAATTACGTTATATATGCCTATATTATACTGTGATTTAACACGAATATGCAGGCGTTTATTGCAATATTTGCATAAAATTGCAAATATATTGCGCGCCTGCAAAGGCTGCATTCAGCATCCCCTGCTGCATTTCCGATGCTATAGGGTTTTTAGTTTTACAGCTGTAATCGACTCATGATTAACTGCCCGATTATTAAGGTACTCATACATAACTTTAATCATGGTTTTAAGTTTATTACCCCACCGAAATCAAATTTATCATGCTCATCAGCTCATCTGCAAATATATTACTAATAAAGCCAATAAACCGCCAAATTTATTGTATCAATATTGTCAAAAAGTCGTCGGTATTCATTAAGGAATATTGCAAAGCATCGAAAGACTACAACCGAATTTCGAGAGCAGAAATATCGTAAAGCTGAACGGTTTTCCCCAAACCTTTTACATATTTGGCGCGCTACGTAAATCACGAACAGCAAAAAATGATGCTGCGAAACGCCAAAGAAAGCATGGATATTAAAAACATGCCCCTGTTAAGATACGAATAAAATGTAAGGCACCGTTAAGGCGGAAGTAAAGGGAAGCAAGTCACTTTTCGGATTTATCGGTGTTTAGGAATTACATTATTAGAATATACAGCCGCTAAATAAAACCCATTAGGGCACTTTTTGCCAAAATAATCCTCGTTCATTATCGAGTCGTGCTATTCAAGAACACTTTACCTTGAGCTCCAAAAAACATTAATCCTCTTCCGTCACTATTCAATTGTACAAATAATGCAATTTGTGTTAAACGTGTTGTAAAAGAGCTGATATTTTATTCATGATAATATTCCCCCAATCTCGATCGGAATACTTTTTATAATATATGCCTCTTTGTGTCCACCGGACTCAAGTGGTCAGTTCGAAAACACCCTCCCCAAGGCATTTTCCGATTGCTTGACTTCACAACGTCTTTATGGCTACTCCTTTTTTATTCAAAATCAGGGATACATTTATCTCGTGTTTGCTACATTTGCTTTATTAATCTGCCAAAAACACACTTTTTTATTTCCTGGACTTTCTTTTCTTCTAATATATGGTCGCCAACCCCCTTTGCTTAATAGGAAAAATGTCTTTTTTCTTTTGCGCCCTTTCACATCTGGTTTATGGAAATGACTCGGCCAGAGGCATTAGTGAGTGGTTTATTTATTGAGGTTTTACTTTTCAATGGAAATCCTCCTCAATTTTCATCAGCATCTGTACCTAATAACAAATTGACAATGTGTGTTGGTCGGAATTGTTGCTTTCTTATTGCATGAAAAGGCGAATGCATCAGTGCTAATAAAGGACTTTTGCCACCATATTCTGGTAGAAAAGCAAATAATCCGTTAACCGAACAGAGTCCAGTTGCAAAAACGAACAGAATAACTAGCTTTTTTCAAAGAAGTTTCAACCAGTTGCATCCGCGCTATCCCTAGAAAGGCTTTAGGTCACCTTCGCATCCGCTTAAATCAATTAATAATAAAATAATAATATTTAATTTTGGCAAATCAGAGATTATTAGGTTGAAGGGGAGCAGATCTCAAATCAAGTATATACCAAATTTGACAGTTTGTCCTCTCACGACCTACTTTCTTGTTATTACCATGTTAACCCATATTAGAGTAATATTAAGGGACTTTCAAACCACTTATGTACACTTGTTGGGAGCAACTATTGTCTTTTATGGTATATAATCCAGCACTTTCATGCACAGCAGCAAGGCGTATTTAAAAAATAACAAAGCTCCACTTTTGTCTATAATCCAGCCAACATCTATATATGCGTATTAGTCTTAGGACATGCATGTGTGTATGTATACATTAAATTTCGAGGATTGACGTGTGTTTATATATCCTACCACGTATTAAATGCATTTTACCACAGGGTATTAGCATGTTTCGCTGACCTACCTATTCATAGCAAAGCAGATTAATACAAAGCTTATACCTTTCATGTAAATCTGTTAGTCAAAGTAATATTCAATGGAAGGGTTTCATTTGCCAAATACCTATATATGTGTGTATGTAGTTTCGGAGCTAATTTCGATTAAAGCGATTTAACACAACTCTAACACAAGAACGGACTCTGAAGTTAACTCCTATGATTGCATAATACGCAAATACGAATTGAATATTTCTTTATGCCGTAGGCTAGATAACAATAAATGTTTGTTGAAATACATTCGAGAAATAACAATACATAATTAAGTAAAGGGCATATTCCGCTTCTTACCCTCGTCCTTACCGCCTAAAATAACAATGTTGCCGGACGAAAAGCGCACATCTTTAATATTTTCATGTTTTGATACCTGTTGGCAAACATAAATCTGTATAATACAGACCCTCACGGGCATGAATTTATACATGAATATAAAATAACGTGAAAATTGCAGGCCAGTCTTAAAAAGTTCGTGGAATAAACAGTTAAGGCAATTAAAATCCGGATATATGGTGTTCTTTGCATTTCGATCTACCAGCATAGAATGTTTGCTGCAAACACTTCGTATATACATATACACATTTTTTTTGAGGAAGTGCAAAATACAGTAGGTGACCACTAAGAACCAACACTCTTTAAATCCTTTCAGTGGGTACCTAAACTACATGTAAATAAATAGGATGTTTTATTAGATTTTTAATGGTGCTAGTCAGCAGTCAACGCTTAGACAATAAAATGGTTTTTCTGTTTTCAGTGTAGTTCAAGTATTGCTGAAGAACGAATCTTCGCCAATGGTCAGAATTAGCCAACCTCTCCAGCACACCCTGTACAAAGCAGACGATCGGTTCCTGGGTAAGTGATAGATATAATACGTAAATTCAATTGAATCGACGTAAAAATTACCCTGGTTTACGCAGATGAATTAAAATTGGTTTATGTTGAAAATTACCGCGATGAATTGCGAAGTTAAACTAGGTAGGGCGTGGAAACGTTCGAAAAACTCATATTAGCTTTAAAGTTTGATACATTGTAAGGTACATGAATGAGACAGCAATTATTTCAGCAAAATGCCGCTCTTGGTTGTGAGATGTAAATCTAACACAACGGGCAATAATTGCAACAATCTGAATTGAAACTAATTAGAATATATTCTCCGTCTCAAGTGTTTGATGTAATGAGTAAGTTTTAACGAATTTTTTATTGAGATTTAAATTGCTTTTACTACATAGATTGCAAGGTGCCATGAACAGCAAGCCAATAGTAAAACCCAAGCATTTAAAATAAATTGTGAGGATTTAAAATATCTCTGACTTAAAATCGTAAAATGTGGATAAATGGTGAGGCTATTAACATTTTTTATATTTTTTTTGTGCTGTAAACGTAAATGATATAAGGTGAATCGTGAGCTACTGTTTAGCATAATCGTAAAATTTAAAAGTTTCGAAAGCGAAATAGGGCGAGCGAGGTTGCTGTTTTATAGACCTTTTTATTTCTACGAATTAATATTCGGGAAAAGGCCATTTGAATTCACGATCAAATGTCATTAGAGATAATACATAAGCTGGTTTTGCGGAAATGAAATTAGCATTTTCGGGCTCCATTTCGACGGTAAGACGATAGGGGCCCTTGAGAGAACCGTAAAAAACGGTCTCAAGACCGTCGCACAGTTTCGGAACAACACAAACAGATTTCTCTTCTCCTTTCAAACATTCACAATCGAACAGAGTGACAAATGCAGTGCTTACAAATATTTGAATGTTGTCTTTTTGTCAACGTCGGAACATGCAACACCATCAAAGCGTGACTTTCCGAGTCATTATTCGCAATGATAGTGATATATCTTTTGCTGAAAATCGACTCAATATCAAAGGTCTACCAACTGACCTACCGCAAAGTCCGTTACCGAAAGAAATGGCCAACAAAGTCATAAAATGTCATGCGGACATTATCCATGCATCTCTATTCTCAAAGCCAAATGAAAGGTTTTCGTCTGCCGCAAAGGCGAGCGCTCAAAAAGAGTTTGGCATATTTATGCCTAAGATGACCATGACTTCAGTAATTAAGGTTCCTTTCAATGCAACAGTTTTAACTGTGTCATGACACATTAACAGGTCTTTTGTTGGTGGATATTTCAGTAGTCTTCGAATAAGCAAACAAATAATACCGAACCTTTGAAGGTAGGGAACCCGCGCAAACCACCCACGTGCAAAAGTGATGATTTGCCTAGGTAACATTATTTATATTGGCCACTTGTGCGCCTGTTTTTGTTAAAGCAGGGAAAGGTTTAGTGGATTTAGAGCTGCTTAGTCAGTGAAACAGACCCTAATTGAAGCATGAAAATTGGATCATTATCTCGAGTGGTCTTATATCCTAAGCACTGTCCATTAAATCAGACGCAGGCCAATAAAAACTGATGCAAAACCAAAGCGTGTTGTTCATATTATTACATAAAACTGTAAGTTTCTTATTTATGGACGTTGTGTGTCGCGAGCGTACACGTATATCAGATCGTGGAGGTATATAGTATGCTGTTAACATAAAAATGTAAATTGTCGCTATTTTTCGGACATAAATCCTACAAAGCACTGTTAAAAGTGTCATTGGTGGAGAGATTCTGAAGAAATTAATATAACACAAACTGCGAAATTTTAATTAATTTTGCGCTCGCTCAAAAGCTGTTGCTAAGCTTGATTTTTACCTAAAGATGTTTTTCAAATTGTTTGCCTACTGTATAAATCTTTCAAATACTTATCCATCGTCTTCATTAATCTTCTAGATTTCACCAGTAAAAAACATTAAGATTCAAACTTCGCCTACGCTCGTGTGGTTTGGTTATTAATGTAATGCAAAAGAGCACCACACCTAAACATGTGAAACGATTCAGAGTAATTAGTGAAAAGTAGAATATGAGTATCGTCGATGTTTGCAGATTTTATCGCCGAGAGGTGAATGCCACTCTCCTATTATTCATTCATATGCGGGACATGTAATCAAAATACGACTTCTAATTACTTTTTAGCAAACAAAAAGTGTCGGTTAATATACATGAACTTCAACATGGGTCGGTTGTAATTAATTACTCTGCTATCTCACATGGTCACTCCACGTTTATTTGAACCGAGATTGATTTTGAATTTTCACTTTTATTGGCCAAGACAAATTATGCCGCTAATGACTCAAGACTTGGTCGTTAAGGGATTAAAATATGTAAAACCAGTCGATTATATTTTTATTTTTTCTTCTGATTAGCTGTTTGCCAAACAGTAAAATTGTCGCCTATTGCAATGCTATATGTATAATGATTAATGCCCTAATACTACTTGCAAATAAGGGATTTTTTTCTATTTGAGTTTTACGGGAAATGTTCCCGCTGATTATTTTGCAGGCAACAGTGATTTTAAAAAGCAGTGTGGTTCTAGTCGGAAAAATCGCTGTCATTCGTCAGAATGTTTACAGTAAAGCCTTTTGGGATAGCACAGTATATATGTGAAAACCAACACGGATTAACTATTAAATCGCCAATAGAGGTGTCAAGCGCAGAACCAAAATCACATTGTGGCAAATCCATGAAAAAGAAGAACATTGTTAATTAGCTGTTGCAATTCAACAGAGGCAAAACGGCGTTAAATCGCAATTAACCGATAATTGGCATTTTGACAGTCCGGTGAGTTGCTCATAAAACCGGGGAAAAACAGTTCTTTCGCTGTGCACAAAGCAAATGAATTTCTGCCGACAGGTCCGAATAATCCATTCTCAATCGGCAAACAAGCCTGTCACATATTGAATACCGGTTGGGGGTGGTTGCACTATGGTGCAGGGGTGTTTATGCACCGTCACATGAAGGCTATTGCATCCGCGATTGCCCGGATTCAATTTTCAATATGCATATTGGCGTGAGCCATTCTCAAAAAGTTCCATTCATTTACATAACGGAATGGATTAGAGTAGCCGCTGCTGTGTCTATTTGGCCACATTTCCCCATCTTTTAAGCCAAACAACCGTTGTAACCTCAAGGGCAGCCACCAAAAAAGTATCAACATATTCGGGTCTAATTTACTATTTTAAAATTCAGTTAATTATTGTACATGATGATGAATATTCATCATAATTCGCAATAGATTAAAACTGTCAGGCAGGGTGAAAACGAATTCGTTATTGCAGCATTCTCTATTATTAACGTGATTTACAATGATATGCCTATTTTATTGCTACCGAGAGACCGTTGGGGTAATTAACAAGTATTAAGTCGTTATTACGACGACAGAGACACCCTTGGCGTAAAAATAGATCCAGAGGGGCGGCCAGGAATTAACGGAACATGCTAATTGGTTTTAAGGAGATAATGAGGAATCGTGCTTCACGTCGAGTGAGGATCCCGGGAGAATCGAGTGACCTTTCAAAATGTCGCCTCTATTTCTAACCTTTGTCGAGTTTAATCAGGAGTGGAACGTTTTACCTATGTGGTGACCTAACCTTTCATTGTGACCTTAAATATGTGTCGTCGACATGCGTGAATTCTGGATTAAATTAAGTAGACCATTGTCTTCCGCCACCCCAGAGTTACCCATGCATGCTTGTGCTGAGCCAAAGAGTTCCACCTTGTACACAAGGTGGAACTCTTTCAGATTCTGATATGCTGCAGAGGCAGAGCCGGGATATATGCAGAATTTTGTGAAGTTAATAGCAGCATAAACTGATGCAATAACAATATGATAGGTGTGGAAATAAACGAAAGAGGGCCGTCATTATCTGGTGATTTATGCATTCAAAACGACTTATATGCCATAATCCGTTGAGAGAGCTGAGCGCAGTGAGCTCGGGTTTCCTGAACACATATTTTCGGGTCATTGGTTTACGCACAGTAAAAACAGGATAAATAAAATATCACGAGCGCGCGTATATGCGGCCGCATGTCGCAACCGGAGCCATTCCATTTTATGGACTGTGGAAAAGTGCTCCAGCAATATGGGATGCAAAAATTAAACGACACTGCAAATGACGCTCACGAGAAAAATATGTGCATTGATTGACGAAATGTCTTTGCGGGGTCGTGAGACCGTTTCAACCCCAACGGTGATTTACCAGCTTACGATTGTTTAAAATGGTCGCCTCGAGCTTCATTACACTCAAAAGATGAAGACGACTGGAGCCACAACGCAAGAGACTTTGAAATTAATTTACCGTTCAAGGACTATCGAACTGAAAAATCCCGCTTGCGAAACACAAAAGGTTTTCAGGCATATCTTTCTGCGTTTTCCTGCTACCCATTTTATTACGAGAGCGATCTTAATTTTTCTTTTTTAACGACAACGGTCTGCTGCTTTAAATTTAAAACTCTTTTCGCATTAACGAAACTCGGCCTTTTAATGACGCATACATGCACCAGTGCTTACTCAATTGGAAACCTCTTTACTTTATGCAAGGTGACAATTTGAAAATTTGCAATGGAACCCGTTCTATAATAATTACGGGGGGGGGCAAGCTTATGTATCACCACCCCCACCAACCCTCATACCCACACCACCCCCAGCCATAAAATTTAAAATTTCAACCCCCTACTTGTGATAGCTCCTTTTAAAGCTCTTAAAAAACGCTTTACTGTGGCATTATATTGAGTTTACATTATATACAGTTACCGAAAAAAAACGTTTTCGAGTTGCAACAATACATCTTATTAAATGGCAGCACCAAATTCTTCAATTGGATTTTATTGCAACTATTTATTTATTTAAAATCGACGGAAAACTGCTGGCGCCCCATCCTCCATTTTCCACCCCTTAATTCTCAAAAGTTCAGCACACTTTCACAAACTACCGCAGTTGCCATAAGGGCCACAATGGTTCTATATTTCC